TGTCCACATCCTCACTGTCCACATCCTCACTGTCCACATCCTCACTGTCTACATCCTCACTGTCCACATCCTCACTGTCCACATCCTCACTGTCCACATCCTCCACTGTACAAGTGGAGGGGACCTTAGCAGTGCTGGGAAGCCGTGCACAGGAGAAGGCCCAACACAGACAGTCACAACAGGGGATGGCCTATTAACTGAAGATTTTGTGTGACAGTCCTAGCCAAGACCATTGAAACAACATTACATTGTAACAATGTGAACAAGGTTCTATGAACCTTCCTTTGTGTTCTCATCTTTGTAAGTCCCATATCCTGTTCAAATCCTGGCTCTGTGCTCTGCCTAAGAATCAAGCTCCCCAATGCCAACCAGGAGTAAGGGTGATGTTTCTGTGGAGCTATTGTACTGACCCAGGCTAGGATTCCCCAACAGCCTGACAGACATGGTGACGGCTGGTGGTACTGAGACTGAAGTCATGAAGCCTCAGGAACAATTGGAGGCTGTCAACAACAACAACAACAACAAAATGGCCCAGCACTTTTGCAGACATAATGAATAAAACAGTCCAGGGCCCTGAGGCCATGATTTCATTTCCTTACCCCAAATAGTTACATCGGATAAATAATAATTAAAGACAGTAAAGTGGGGGCTGGAGAGGTGGCTCAGCAGTTAAGAGCACTGGCTGCTCTTCCAGAGGACCCGGGTTCAATTCCCTGAACCCACAGGGCAGCTCACAACTATCTGTTACTCCAGTTCCAGCCGACCCGACACCCTCACACGGACATGCAGGCAGAACATCAAAGCACATAAACTAAAAGTAAGTCATTAAAGACAGTAATGTGTCTTTGGACTTCCTTTTGCCCAACCAAAACCATTGCTAACACTTCAGGCTGCACCGGAATTAACATTATAGGGGACATAGTTAAACTACAGGGAAGCAATCTGGCCGCTCCTGGAACCACGCAGACCTACTTTCTAAGTCAAGTCTGGACAAAATGCAGCTGTCAGAGGTGAAGATCCTTCTCATTGTTTTGTAAAATATATCTAGCCAGGCAGTGGTGGCGCACGCCTTTAATCCCAGCACTCAGGAGGCAGAGCCAGCCTGGTCTACAGAGCGAGATCCAGGATGAGCACCAAATAATCATATATATTATTATTATATATAATATATATATATATATATCATATATATGATATATATATAATTATTTTTATTTGTCTCTCAGTCATTTTTTTTTTTTTGGTTTTTCGAGACAGGGTTTCTCTGTGTAGTTTTGCACCTTTCCTGGAACTCACTTGGTAGCCCAGGCTGGCCTCGAACTCAGAGATCCGCCTGCCTCTGCCTCCCGAGTGCTGGGATTAAAGGCGTGTGCCACCACCGCCCGGCTTCTCTCAGTCATTTAACGTCTATTGTTCAGAGTGTTTGTCTGGACACTGTCCCAGGTTTCTACAAACAATTCAACAACAAGGAAAGAAAACAGGCAGGAAAGACTGCTAACAGACACTTTAACTGGAAGCGCCCACAGACAGCATCTCAAGAAGCAAGGAGGGTGGAGAGGGCTGCAGGGTTCTCCGTGGTGAGGACCAAGGGCAAGAACTGAGACTGGAACCTCCCCGAGCGCCTAGGAGAGCTGGCTGGTTTTCAGCCATTGTAACGAGTAGCTAAGGACTGCTTTAAGTTCCTCTGACAGCTGGGCGGTGGTGGTGCATACCTTTAATCCCAGCACTTGGGAGGCAGAGGCAGGAGGATCTCTCCGAGTTCAAGGCCAACCTGGGCTACAGTCAGTGCCAGAACAGCTGGGGCTACACAGAGAAGCCCTGTCTTGAAAAACAAAAACAAAAACAAAAACAAAAACCTGGCTTCTCAACAAACAACTGGCTCCACTCAACACATTCTAGAACCTACTGACCAATGGCAGTCCTAGTTTCTAAAGTAGCCAGCTAGGAACTAATTCTTTCCAAGAATCACACAGTGAGGGACAATTAGACAGTGACACCCTATCATCAAACTTCCATGGATGACATCCTGCCACTCAGGCTCCTGAATGTCCCTGGTTCCTGACGCCATGGCTCTCTGCACTCTGTCAGCTGGACAGATGGTTCCATTAGCCTGGTCCCCTTGTGGTTTCCCTACGGTAGAAAGCAAAACTGTCTTTTTAACCCCAGTTCCAGTGACTGCCTCATTGTCCTCTGACACCTGTTTGCTTTACGTTTGCCTTGCCAGCTAGTCCAGAGGGCCCAGAACTCTTGAACTGCTCCTACCTTAGTTTCCCAGGTGCCGGAGTACAGGCAAGCACCACCACACCCAGTCACCCGTGTGCTGTATAACCATGCGCTTTGGCACGGTTGAGGTTTTTGTGTGACTTTCTTCTAGAGTTAAATGTGAAATTCCAGCTGCATCCAGAGTTCGGGAGTACAGACAGCAGGGCCCTAAGCAGAACACTGGGGCAAGCTGGTTCCACTTCATTTTACAGGGCCTGACAAGGCTGAGAGGCACCCTTTCCCAATGCCTCCCCACCTCAGGATCCAGAGTGCTGCTCCTCTAAGGTCACGGGACCTCCTGTGGGAACCTAGACGCACCCTCCTAAAGCACTATTAAGAAACATGCACTGAGAAAAGCGCCTTAGCTACCAGAACAGCAGCATGGTGCCACAGAAATACCGCAGTGCTCCAAAAATGCAAGACTCCTAAAAGGAGATCTCAACAACTCACTGGCTTCCCATGAGTCGGGTATCAAAGCAGACACTGTCACAATTAGAAGAAAAGTTAGGACCACCGTTCCTCCTGTCACGACATCTCCTTTTCTTCACAGGGCCTCTTCAACCCGAGCTAATAGACCCAATCAAGAGGCTGAGGGAGAGCAGCCACATGGAAAGAATAAAATGACCAGGTGTGGTACACACCTGCAACACCAGAGCCAGCAGGTGGAGGCAAGAGGGTCAGGAGTTCAAAGTCAGCCTCGGCTACAAACTAAGTTCAAGGACAGCCTGGGCTACATAAGACTTTATCTCTTAAAAAACAAAACAAGTTGGGCAGCAGTGGCGCACGTCTGTAATTCCAGCACTCAGGAGGCAGAGGCAGGCAGATATCTGTGAGTTCGAGGCCAGCCTGGTCTACAGAGCAAGATCCAGGACAAGCACCAAAACACAGAGAGATTCTACCTCAAAAAAATAAAAAACAAAACAAAAAACAACCAAGAAAGAATAGATTCTTCCCGAATGAAATCTGATAGATTTCAATCCCAAGGAACAAGGAACTACAGAGAACGTGGGTGAGGATGAGACAGAGCAGGCTGATATAAGCCCTGGCTGGCTGGCTCTTTCCTTTAAGTGCCAGTTAGAGTCCAAGCTGCAGTCCTGCCATTTAACAGGAGGCTACGTATCAGCTACGCAACTGTCACAGCCGCCAGGCCAGGGGATGAGTGTGCACACTCTGAGCACAGGGACGGCAAGACTCCCCAGAACTAACGACTTCCCGAGACTAGGTAATGTTAGTGGGGTGGGGGGGGGGCTGCCCTGAGGGTCCAAGTGAGGCCAGGCTGTCACCACACGGCTTCATGCTCTGTGAGTCAGAGAAGTCACTCCGGGGAAGGCGGCAGGGTTTCAGAATGGTTCCACGGGCGCTGACCTGCACTGCCACCCACCGTGTCTTGCCACTCTGGTACGCGGTAGCTCCCACTGGTGACATAAAAGAGACCCGAGCACGAAGACACTGCCACTGACCCATCATCCTAAGGTGAGCACGAGGAGGCTGCTGTCCGTGCTCCCCGACTGAGCACACCCACCACAGCTCTTACTCTGTCCCTTTAGTGCTGTGGGCATGCTCACATTACATTATATATTTCAATAATCACAAGCTTTTATTACTTATAAAAAAGCAAGTTATTAGCCAACATCCTGATATTAAGTCCTGTTATGAAGGAGATTCATCTGCTTGCATATAAAGTGGGCATGGGTTTTGCAGAGAATAATACTTTTATTTAGAATATGAATCTATTGGGAAATAGAAGATGGTATAATTTGTATGTGCCTATGAAATCTAAATCTAGGATGTAGTAATAACAAAAATCAAAGAAATTTGTCTTTTAAATTTTGTTAATGAGAAGCATACACATGTTGCTAAGACCAATATTATATTTGCTGATAATAACTGATTCTTTTTCTTTTTCTTTTTTCTTTTTTGGTTTTTCAAGACAGGATTTCTCTGTGTAGCTTTGCACCTTTCATGGAGCTCACTCTGTAGCCCAGGCTGGCCTCCAACTCACACAGATCCTCCTGCCTCTGCCTCCCAAGTGCTGGGATTAAAGGCGTGTGCCGCCACCGCCACTGCCGCCCAGCTAATAACTCGTTTCTTACCAGCTACAACATATACCCTTTGATCCTTCCTTTAAAAAAAAATCCTAGTATTTTCTAAGAATGAAAGTCAGACACAGAAGTTTGACTGTAGCCACAGAAGAATACACATAAATAAGAGGTCAGCCTTGGGCTCTTCTCTGGTTGGCTCCTGATGTCTAATATGCTCGGGGGACAGTGACAGTGTGGTCTGTCAGGGACAGGGACAGTGCTGTCTGTTTCTTTTGTACGGTGACTCACACATTACCTAATAAAGTCCTCATATTTTTAATTTCCAACTTTACATACGGAGAATCTGTTGTCACTTCACATTAAGGGAACCTTTTCCAAGATTGACTGTTCAATTCTGTGTATGTGAGGGTTTGTGCACTCTAGTGCAGGGCCCTCAGAGGCCAGAAGAGGGCGTCAGGTCTCCAGAAGCTGGAGTTACAGGCAGCTGTGAGCCACTGGATATGAACTGCACTCCGGTCCTCTGAAGAGCGGTGCCCACTCTTACCCACTGAGCCACCTCTCTAGCTACAAGAGAAACATTTTTCTCTCTCCTAGGAGCAAAGGCTTATATAATATGACTATAATGACAAATTTATTATGGAATTTCATTCTTTTAGAATTTTCATAGCATTCTTAATGATCTCACTTTCTTAGGAAACAATCAGTGCCTGAAATTATTGAAAGTTCCATTGACAGATGATTTCAAGTCATTGTGTACGGGTTGTATGCATAATGAAGGGGAAAAATAAAATGTAAAACAGAACAGTTTCCGTGTTTGGTCATGTGAGTGA